CTCAAAACGATGAGCAGCCACAGTCTGTCGTATATTTCTGATATGTACCGATCTTGGTGGAATCAAATGTGTCAAATCACTTCAACACTTCCTGTGAAAGTATCTATAGAAGAGAGACAAATCTTCAACTAGACTATCTCCAGACTATCCAGCAGGTTCAGGGTATGCTTAGGAGCGGAGCTCCATACATGAGAACAATACTCCAAAGAAGGTCTGATCTGAGCTTTATAAAGCATCGAAAGTTGCTGGGATGTGTACAGTTTTCTGGCTCGGAACAGTATTCCAAGCTTTTGAGAAGCAGCCTTTGCAATTCCAGCGACGTGATTGTGACAAGAATGTAATTAAGCGAGTAATGGAAATTTTTGTTCTACTACTTGCAACCGTCTGACTTGTCTGACATCCCATTTCAACAGTCTTGTTTCCTGTACTAGTTTGTTGCCTTGTTGGATGTATGTCAAATTCTTCTAGAAATTTGAGCTGTCCGTGAATTGTGATCCAGTGCTTCCCATTAGCATGAAATATAACGAGCTGCCTACAATCTGGGTTTCCATTGTATAGCCCTATTTTGTTCAGTTGTCCTATCAATGGACAATATCCAAAGAGTAGCCGTATAGATGTTCTGAACCAATCCTTCAATTGTCGAAGCAATTCTTTAGCTCCCTTCTCGGACGGTCTCCTCATAAAGTTTTTCCCATGTGTCCACGTGTGTATTTTACAAATAGTATGTTAATTAAGAACTCACTTTCCTATCTGGTTCTATACCAAAAATTTTGGTACTCCCCCCCCCATCCGTATTTTGGAAAATATTAGGATACATATTCTGAAAATTCAATACAATAGACATGTCATGGAAATAAAATAAATAAAGGTAGTTGTTGATTTGTATAAGTGTATTTGATGAATTCGTGAGCAAAATGACTCATCTAAATTTGATTATGATGTATGGCAAATGTGATAAAACTATCAACCGGACATGCAGGTTATTTGTTTGAAAAGTAGCGGAATAAACTCAATACGGTAGAAGGCTTTTGAAACATTTTTTGCATCATGGATCATTTCTTCAAAAAATAACCAAACGAAAGCTCCAGATAGATAATGAAAATCTGGATATAGTTGTTCTTGGATATTTTGCTTTTCATTCGAATGCACCTTTGAAATATTGTGAGAAAAAGCTACCAGTTATATCCGGAACCGATCACCTCATTTTGAAAAAGATTAATAAAAACCGTTCAAATATCATCTGGTACATCATCTGAAAGACAAGGATTTGCATCGTCGAATCGAGTTTTGTAAATGGTTGCTGATAAAAAGTCAGGAAGATTCACATTTTCTTAAAACATTTTTATGTAGTGATGAAGCCAAGTTCACAAAAAAATGGATTATTCAATAGCAATGATCCCCATTGAAAATCCACACCTTGTAACATTTAATGTGCTATAAAGCACAATAGGATTCTGTATTTGTACATCAATGATGAAAATATGAAGGTGAAGTATACTGTAACATACTACAAAATGTTTTGAAGAGTTTTTTTCGATAAAACTATGATAACACTTTCAAAATACAAATTATTAAATAACAACACAAATTAATTGGCGCTCCGGGGCGACTTCATTGAGTCCAGTGGCGCATTTGCTTTTTCAGCGGCAGGAAACCCGACAAAACCTGCAGTACCACATCATCTGAAGTTCTTGATCTGCCAATGTCCGCTCTCAGATAAAACAAAATGTAGGGTGTCTCCAGAGGCTCCAATGAATTCAATACATTGCCAGAATACTTTGTGCCACGACTATCGTCAAACTTAAACCAGACCGTTTCGTCTTTGACCAGGCGTAATAATGACGACCAGATTCAACGCCAGAACCACAGTGAACAATGACTGCATGAAGTTTATAATAGTGGTCTCCTAGATTGAAATGTTCATCTATTTCGAACCTTCGTAAGAGTTTGGTACTTCCGTCAGAGTTTGAGTCATGTTTGAAGATCATCAGTGTTATTATTAGATTGACTGATGCCTCAGCTATACTTGTTTCCTTATAACAGTCAGTTAGTTTGGCACATGTTGGCAATACAGTCGATCATCACCTGTTAAAAGTTCCATTTTCCGATGATTCAACAATAAGCTTTGCACAGACTGGTTATTAGTCATATTAGGAAACACTAATTGAAGTTCCAATCCTCTTGTCGTCCTAACGAGTATCTAGTGGACTTCAAAGACACTAGGAAATCGGTTGGAGGGAAAGATGATACATTCTTGCGAAACTGCAGCTGCATGAACAGGTGTTTGAGTTTGGTGAATAAGTAGAAAACATTCCCATTCTCGTTCATCATTAAAACCTCGTTCTTGAAATTCTTCGCCATGAACAACACTTGTAAAATGCTATTCATGAACATGGTTAACAGAATCTGCATAGGAACCATTTCTCAAGCTGCAATCCATCCTTCCAAGTGATGAAGGGTTTCGTAGACGGATCAATTCGGCTCTTGAGAATTGCAGTGAATTTTATCAACTGCGGAGATGCGGAGCACTGCCTCATAATTGCGAAACCGTAAGCGTGTTACTCGATCAAGTATTTTATATTAGGTGGATTGCCAATAACAGGCCGTACCATTGGCCAGCATGTCTCCCCGATCTGTCACTGATTGACTATTATGTATGGAAACATTTTGAAAATATTGAATATACAGATTCTGCAACCGGTATGGAGAATACGGTTAGAAAAGTTTTGCAAGGTTTCAACGCCTAGATGCGTAGATGCCAAACTAGCAGTTAAATAAATATACATTTCAATGACTGGCCTCTGAAGTAGTGAGTTATGAATTTGGTGAACTGTAATTGGTGTGAGCTATGGATCGTAATTGATCGTTTTTTTCAATAGTAAGTGAAAAATGCACTTACTATTCACACCTTAATATTTACTCAATTACTACAAATATTCAACTATTTTACCTCACTTCCTCTTGTTTTCTCAGCTGTCTAGGTCGATTCGAGAAAAACAAATTGGAAACCACATTACTATTTACTGTTGAATACATACGTACCAGACATTTCTACATAGATTCATTTCTTCCCTAACTTGCAATCCCAAATGCAAACTTCAAGTCAACCAGTTAACAAGTTTTCTTCGAAAGTTTTGCGCGAACTTCAACAGAATTTGCTATTTATGAGAATGAAAACCACATGAGAAGTTCCATTGCTAACAAAATTAATTGCTGAAGCTCGATATTGATGACTACTGGTTATACAACTTGTTTGAAAGGAATATTCTCATTCAGAATGTTATTCTTTATTTTATCTGTGAAATTTGGAATTTTTCGTGTAAGTAGCAAACATGAAACATACACTGTTATAACACCAGATTTTCAATATTTTAATAATTAACACCGTTGTCTTCAAGGAGGATGATCTCAATATATGTTAATGAAAAAATATACATAACATACATAGACAAAGCAAATGTCTCTCAAACATCAATTTTCATATAGTACAATATGGTGACCAATCTGGATTTTTGTGTACCTGTTGAATATTCAAATGTTTTGAATTTTGCGTATTTATCAATGTTAATGTTTGATTCTGCATATCATGTATATCATTAAAAATTTCAACCTATGAACATATTTAATCTATTTTGACATGTGCTTTTCTGTAGCTTTTTCCTGATAGTGATAATTAAAGCAAATATTGTAATAACTTGAGATTTACAAGAATACACTTTCATTTCTGCCAGATTTTCAAGTAATTTGTATAGCAAGCAAGAAACGTGTACTTTTATGACACTATACCACCAATATTTCGGCAGTAGACACTATCATGATATGAAAAATCAACCAGTAACTCCCACTACTTTCATTCATAAATTCACAAAGTTCTCGGTGACCTCGAAACGAAGTGTGGAGCCAATTTCGTTCTATTACCATAGACGTGCGCTTATATAAAAACGGAATTTGAGGAAATTATAGAAGATTTTGTGGTAAGTTACCTACACCCAAATACAAAAACTAAAAACAATAATAACATCAGCGAATAAACTAAACAAAATATCAATTTCCCACCGTTTATTATAACTAATTCGATGTCCGTGATACCGTCGAATCCTTTGATACTACAGTACTGAACTCGTTGGATGATCTCGTCCTAAGAGCGGTTGAAGGTCCCTGGCAACTCGGGCGGATCACGTGGTAAGAGAACATACTGGTTATATTATTCTACTGTGCTATCATCGCAAACAATGTATTGAGATTTAAAAAAATTCAATTGGCAAGAGAATTCTTGGAACAACAGTCAGGGCTTTTTTCCAGTTTGTATCTGAGAGTTATTTCTATGTATGTATTTTTAAAAAGATTTTTTTCTGAAATTAATTGCTTTCTCATTTCCTTTGAAAGTTTACCACAATTGTGTATGAAGAAGGAGAGAAAGAAAGCCAAAACCTTTCTTTCTTAGTAGTTGACGACGCTTCTGAAGCAATGAAACGCTAAATATACGAAATAACGCAAAAAGTCGAAAAAGTTCGAACTAAAATCGAAAAATTTCGAGAACTGAAAGAGTTATTGAAACTTTCACAAAATAGACCTTTTCAGTTCTTTCAAACACTTCTAGAAAAATATTTCGTTTTGTTAAAATCATTTTCAATGGCAAAATAATCAGCTAAAACATCTCTGATAGAACCAATTTCACATCTATAATGAGGAACATAAAAATAGTGGAGGCAGCAATTTGGGGTACATTAAATGTAGTAATAATTCGAAACTTTTCAATTCCATCATTCAAAGAAAACTGTGTACCCCTTTGAAGTGCATTTTTTTATATACCGAATACTACTGTTCATTATCCTTTCATTCTAATAAACTCTTAACTTGTTGAAGTAGCTCACCAAATCACTACAGTGAATGACACTCATTAATTCACTCTCAAGTGAAAATAAAACTCTACCGAGGAAAATGCTTGAACAAAGATCAATTCATGCCCTTCGTAACACACCCTCCAGTCCGCAACTTACAGTGATTGTAGGCTGGAATCATCCCGTTCCGCATCGACCAAAAGACGCAGGTCGGCCAATTCCTTCTGTTCCCTTTCGCGATCTCTCTCTGATTGTCTCTGCTGCAGCAGGTCGTTATCCAACTGCCGGATCTCCCACTGTTCCCTTTGCGATCGGTGGTGTTCCTGAAAAGCAACAGGGGTTTGTTTTCTTATTCGAACGCTAATTAGACGGTGATATTGAAATAAGTTGTCACAGATGATTAGAACTTTGCCTAATGACGGGTAATGCGACTGATAAGTATAACACAGTCATGGAATGATTACATCCTTTCTGTTTTCTACAACCAGATGTTGTCATTCTTGCATTTAGCCTCACAGTACTATTAACAGCTAATAAGCCAGAAACATATGTCAGCGGTTTTCATTTTTGAATAAATTCTTGATCACGAATATTATTTTTTTCCATTTATATAGCGTAATCAAGGGCAAGGATGATCAATACTTGGTTGCTCGAAGTTGCGCAAATATACTGAGTGGACAGCATAAGCCAGCCGCACTTTAAATCAGCATTGAAGTGTAGTGAACTTTTTTTTCATATAGGCTTGTTACGTTCCCTTTATAAAAGAAAAATTGTGTTATTGAAAAAAATGTTATCAGGGACATCAACGAGTATTCTGAATATTGCGAATATTGCTGAAGTTGATTAGGGAACGTTAATTTAGGGAGAATCTTCATAAATCTTGGACTACTCAAAAAAACATCGATTCAAAGTCTATTCTCATTCTGTATGGAAAAAATACACTAACGAATCAGATGGAATTTTCAAACAGTTTTATATGACCCTAAAAGCAAGATGTTGGAAATTGAAAAGTCGAAGATATATGAAATGAGCTGTGAGAACTGTGACAAAAAATATATCGGTCAGACTCAGCAAGCCTTCGAAACACATTTCAAAGACCATGCAGAACATATCCGATTTCGAAAAGTAATAAAATCTAGTGTGGTGCAACACGTCCTGGAAATAGTGAAGTGTGGCATGAGAACTGTGAACAGTCCATTATTTACCGCTATCAAAATAATCGGAAACCATCGGGAACAAATTTTTATCCGAAATTATTTCTGAAAATGTACCCTGTCAGATATGAATAATGGCACGTTTCAGTTTTAGTGAGGATGTTTGTCTACCTCATCTCCTGAAGACATTTCAATTCTCCATTTCATTTCAATATTGAATGTTGATGTCGGTGTGGGGGTAATCACCCCTCCCCATAAATCCGCTCTTGATCAATGTAGGGTCATCATTGATTTGCTACGGATAATTTCAATAATATTCTTTACTCAACTGATAATGGATATATACGTTACTTTATGGGCGCACTGTATATTTCCAGATTGTGAATGATAACATCACTTATGATTTTCTGAATCACATAATACAAGAAGTCATCTAGAAAAATTGTCGTTAGAAAGTAGAGTGAATAATAATGAAAACCTGAACAAATAATGAATTAGAAGAGAAATACCAAATCTGCTAAGTTTTGTTATGATGAAAGAATACTTTCGTGAGGTAGAACGATTATTTATTCACATTGCATCTATTATTAGCACAAGAATATCAATAATTGCGTGACACAAGTATATTTTCTTCATTTTCATAATCATATTGCTTGGATTGGTATTCAGGAGACAGCTTCAAAAAAGCAACGTGCTGACTGGCCAAGCGTTATATTTCTAACGAATCGGTCAATTATATGTAGCAATGGCATAACTGCCACCTCCTCAAGTGGTGTGAGTTACCCACGACGGTGGGAGCCACATAGATCAGGTGGAAAATTCATTATTATTTTTTATTATAAATCAAACGAATATAACAGATAATGATATACTTATGATGCACTGTTTGGAACCTTTAGTGTAGTAATCAATATTACTGGAGTTTTTTCCAACACCAAATCGTTATTTTTAACACCTCGACACGTGTTTCGATCACCAAGTGATTATCTTCAAAGAGGAAAATAAATTTGGATAGGCAATTTTGTGAAATTAATTTTAATATATCTGAAAATTGTTTTATATAAACATATATTGTGAAATAATAGATCAGCAAAATTGTAAAATTAATTTAGGTTGGTATACCTGTATGGTTGGTACGCCTGGATGGTTTACCTGTATGGGTTACCTATATAGCATTAATAGGGTTAGCTCGCATTAGTTTCTAAGTTTAATCTTCCACTTTGAAGATGATCACTTGATGATCGAAACACGTGTCGAAGTGTTAAAAATAACGATTTGGTGTTGGGAAAAAACTCCAGTAATATTCAGATAATGATATAACTTTTTCTGAGCTTCGAAGCGTTAAATCCTTGGTTAGTTCCTAATATGGAATAAAACGCATAATAATCTTTTCAAATAGTGTCGATACCTGGCCTAAGATGGAAAAATTTGAAAATTGGGGTTTAAGTTCGGACTCAATGTATTTGGATCTGAAGTTAACCCACAAAAATTTTGATTGCCTTCTGAGATATTGGCGAAAAATAATGAAATTTCGGCATTTTCTTCAGTTTCTTGCCTATATAGCACATAGATTCTTATACAGCGTGACTCACGGTCGATGGTAGGTTAGACGTTTCTGGAAAACGCAAAGCATGATTTTTCTGAAAATTTCACCTCTCACATTTCCTTACCTGTTCTATCGATCTAAAATATTTTCAGCATTGCGGCGTTGCCACTTCCATCAAAAAGTCCTAGCAACTTTATTTTTTTAAAAGATACACCCCGTATATTAATACATTTTTGGAATCGCTTCGGTATCTTAATACTTTTTTGTCGATAGTGTTCTATACCTATCTCTATCTGTTTTCGAGATAAAAAATAAATTGTGCTAAATATGGTCCAAAACATAGCCTTAATTGAAATTAAGTACATCAGTACTCTCAATTCATGAAAAGTTGATATTTTGCTGATGGTTGGGACAAACTTGAAATATTCAAATAATACCAAGAAATCGACTCCATATCATACAGGGCGTGCTAAAATTACTATTATTTCCATTGTGCATAAAAGTAGTCAAAAGTTCATTTTTTCAAACGAAACCCCTTGTATATTACTCGGTAAATTGAAAAATGCTTCAAGATGATATATCATGTCCCTATACCTAAATCGTCAAGTTTTCTCAATAAAGTCGCTTCTTCTAGATACATTATTTTTTTTTAGAATTTGGATTTAGGTAGCAGTGGAATTATCAAGCTTATAGCAGTTCGGTTACTTTTATAAGTAATTTACAAAGAGTTATCAACGGTATTTCGAATTATCTTTCAAAATGAATGTAAATATCGATTATTCAAACGAACTTCTTATGAAATTATTTATTATATACATGAACTAAGTGATTAAATCATTGTCAGAACGTGTGAAAAATTCAACCAAATGTATCCTGAATTAACACCAATGAACGAGAGGAAGTTTGTAAGGTTACAAAATGATTTCCCTAACTATGGCTCAAAGTTTCCAGGGAACAACTGTACCAAAAATCAGTCATTTCTGTAAAAAGTGAGATTTTGTGGGCTAAAACATGTGAAAGTACAGACAATATCAGAATAGGATGATTCAAAATAACAAAATTGTAAAGAAAATATCACATTTTCACAATAAATGCTGAAAATGTTGTCCATTACATTCTCAACACTTCAAAATGTTTTTTTGTACGCGACTTGTGGTTGCTTTTTCAATTTCCTGGGGATCCAGATCTTCAATACTCCGCACTATTCGCCGTCGCAATTCTTCTTTGGCAGGCTTCCTGGGTGAAATGAGCTGGCGCTCCGTCCAGTTGAAACCACGAATTCCTATATTCCCCTAAAGGCAAATTTTCAAGAAAATCGGTTACAGTCGTCCTTAATATTTGGAGATATCTCTCTGCATTCAGTGTGTCTTCATAAATAAAAAAGCTAATTTTATTGTTCTTCAGAATACAGAAATCACTCAGGTCAAAGTTTTCTTGAAAACCCATTTCTTTTGTAACATGAGGATTATGATCAGCCCAAAAATGTTTATTCCTTCTATTGAAAATACCATCCCTCGTAAATTTTTGATTCGTCGCTCCAAATTATTTTTGATGAAAATTCCCGATCTTCCTGTGTATGAATCAAAAGGGACTCACAAAAATGCATTCTACGTTCGAAGTCTTCTGCTTTTAGAGCTTTGGTAAATTTATACGGATGCATTCCGTGATTTTTCAAAATTCGTTGTACTGAAGCATGTGATACACCTAAATCTTTTTCTACACTGCGAATGGAAGCTTCTGGATATGCATAAAAATATGCCACAAAACGTTAACAGTATTGTCCTCATTTGAAGTAACAGGTTTTGGTAATGTTGAAGGCGCTTTTAACATGGAGCCATAGTTTTCAAAATATCAACTTTTCATGAATTGAGAGTACTGATGTACTTAATTTCAATTAAGGCTATGTTCTGGACCATATTTAGCACAAATTATTTTTTATCTCGAAAACAGATAGAGATAGGTATAGGACATTATCAACAAAAAAGTATTAAAATACTTGAGCAATTCCAAAAATTTGTCAATATACGGGGTGTTCCATTTAAAAATTTATTATTGCTAGGACTTTTTGATAGAAGTGGCAACGTCGCAATGCTGAAAATATTTTAGATCGATAGAACAGGTAAGGAAATGTGGAAGGTGAAATTTTCAGAAAAATCATGCTTTGCGTTTTCCAGAAACGTCTAACCTACCATCGACCCTGAGTCACGCTGTATATTAGCGTCTATAGCGCCTACAGTCTTAGAACGTATTCAGAAACACTTTACTCGCACACTAAAGTCACGCCCGAAGAAGTCGTTGTATGGCGAAACACGTGTTGCGTTTTTGTGAGAGTATTCAGTGAAAATCTCACAATAAAGTGTTTTTGAATACGTAGGTTATGAATTTTCATCAAGTATCCGCCAGAGTCTTACGTAAATGAACATGATATACACTTTCAAACTAGATACAATTTTCTACAACCTAAGGCCAGAACGGTATTTTCAGGATCATTCGAATGTAAAATTCATTTAGTAATGATTTGAAAAAATGAAAAACTGTCATTTTCATTTTTGGAGCTGAAATTGGTGAATCATTGTCTTCCTATATGCAATTTATTATTGACAGTTGTTGAGGAATGTAGTCA